CTGTGTAAGGTTTTTTCTCTCTCCCCCCCCCCCGGCATACTGCTTTTCTATGTCCCATAGGTCTAGACTGCCCCACCCTGGACCACCAGCGAATGGAAGGTTTGTTTCACTTGCCAGGAATCTCCATGGGTAGAGCTGGTCCTTCCCCAGGGGTCTGAACTCTGTTGGTGGGACACCTGTAGGACTTCAGCTCTTGGTTCTTCTACTAGTTCTCTGCGGTGTGCTCCTTCCGTGTTTGGGCTGTTGGTGGCTTGGGTTTTTTTCTTGTGTGTTCCGTTGTGATTCTCGAGCATAAGAATTGGACTGCTTTGGATCCAGACTGGGAGCTGGGGAGAGAAGCCCCCTATGGAGATCGCAGTTGCCAGTGACCCTGCCTGCCTCCAGGGAGGAACTACTTCCCACAGGTCTAGAATGCCCCCCCCGGCCCCCAGCCCTAGGACCACCAAGAAGGGAGATTCGCGGGAAGCGAAACAGACCTTCCATTCTCGGCATGCTCTATCCGTGATGCTGTCCCCCCACCCCTCTCTCTCTCTCTCAGGCAGACAGCGTTCCACGCTCCCCACTCAGCGAGGAGTACACCTGCAACTACCGCCGGGCACGCCGTCGCAAGCGCTCCCCTTGCAAGGGGAACAAAATTGGTGAGTCACGTCCTGAGACATTACAGGGGCTCCAGCAGGCTGGTGTTTGCCCTCTCGCGGCAATCTGTGTCCCTTAGGCCCCGGTCACACGGAAAATTTTGGCCCGGGAGAGGGACGGATCGGGGGCGCAGCAAACGGGCGCCATCTCACCGCAACATCTTGGAAGCGGCGCGCACCCGTCTCCGATCCATCCCTAAACCCAGACAAGTCGCTGCAAAAAAGAACCTCCTACAGAGGAGGACTTAACCTGAAGCACCGCAGCAAGCGTGGCCGTGGGATCGCCGCCGCGCCCGTCGTCCGGAGCAATCCAGGCTCCCGGCTGAACTGCGCACACGCACACATGTACAGTTCGGCAGCCTTGCTCTCCAGTAGCTTCCCCCCGCCCACCCGGCATCTGATTGTGCAGGGGAGGAACTGCGTGGCGACTCAGAGGATCTATGTGATCCCGCCGCCGCATGTTGAGTGTTTCTTTTGGTGCAGCTTTAAAAAGCTGCACTTTGGCCGTACTTCCCCCCCCCCCATGGGGCAGGGGCCTTAGAAGATGAGAAATGAAAGCAAAGGCCTGTTTGGCTGGACGCTTTGTGGGAAAGCTTATGGTGCAGGCCGAGAAGGTGGCACACCTTCCCCCCGGATTGCACCCCTTATCTGGAGGTCACTAAGCCTCCAAACCCAGAGATTCAGAAGGGCCTGTCCCCTCCCACGTGCTTGTCCCTTTTGAAATCCACTCATGCCAGGAAAGCATTACCAGCCTTGTGGCCATTAAGCCTCGAGGCAACGCTTATGCCAGTGCGCACGACCAGCCTTATGTGAGGTGGCGGAAGAAGCCTCTGCACTGTGGGGGGTGGAGGATCTATTTATTTTTAATTCCAGCGGGCTCCGTGGTCCCATGTTTGTCAGGGGAGGTTCAGAGATGGCTTCAGGGTGACATACTCTGACCTGGGATCCCTCCTGGGATCTACCTCGTCTGGGAGACGTGTGGTCATATCTGGAGAGAAACCAGGTGCTCGTATCGGTCTGTGGTTGGTTGGAAGCCTCTTGCAGGGTTGGTGGTTCTCACACATTTGATGACGATCACAGAATCCTTGGAGAATTCCATTGGAATGTGATCCATACTTTGACTCAGTAGCAAAAGTGGAAGGCAGGGGTCAGTCAAAGCCCTCTCAACATCTGTTCCTCACCTGCAAGATATGGTTACAGGGTTATTCTGCAGATAACGACAATAAGGAAAAGCACAGAGATCCAGGCTGGAGGGTCCATCTAGTCCAGCATCCTTGTTTCTAAGATACCTGCAAGAAGCTGAAAAGCAGCCCGTAAAAGCAAGAGCCTTTTCCCACAGTTTGTTTTCAGAAACTGGTATGCTGCTTCTGAGCATGGAGGCTCCATTCAGCTACCATGCCCAGCCTAGCATGTACCCTGGCCACTGAGCTGTCAGGTGTTGGGATCTGGAAAGGAGGAGTTTAGAACAACAAATCTCTCAAGAAACACAGAGCCAGAAGGTACCCCAAGGGTCATCCAGTCCAACCCCCCGCACAATGCAGGAAATTCACAACTCCCCCCCACTCCCCCAGTGGACCCCCCCCCCACACTCCATGCCCAGAGGAAGGCAAAAACCCTCCAGGATCCCTGGGCCTGGAGGAAAATTCCTTCCTGATCCCAGAGTGGCCATCAATGTTACCTTGGACATATAAGAGAGGGCCATGAGAGCCGAGCACGGGCTGCTCTCTTCCTACCCTCCCTCTGGCCGCCTGCCTGAATTCACAGTGAGTCACAGAGTCAGCATTGCTGTCAGATGGCCCTCTCGTCTCCAAAGGAGGAGAGCCCCCCCACCTCCCGAGGAAGCCCGTTCCACTGAGGAACTGCTCTAGCTGTCGGGAAGTTCTTCCTCGTGTTTGGCTGGAAACACTTTGGATTGCATTTCAGCCTGTCGGTTCTGATCCGACCTTCTGAGCTTTCAGATTCTACAGATGTGTCCGGGAAGTGTGAAACCATTGGCACGTATCCTTGGATTGCACAGCCAGGGCCTAGCCGCCCCCCTCCCCACAATAAACTTCCCTTCCCTCCCGCTGCAGACCCAGACGGCTTGGAGGCGGGCCTCTCAGACCTGGAGCAGTACCACGCTTACTCAGAGCTCCTGCAGCTGCAGGATGCCCGTGGCAGGAACCACTGGGACGACATGTGCAGCACCACCACGCCCTGCTCCCAAACAAGCGAGGAGGAGACCAGAGTGCTCTGCCCGCCAAAGGCCGAGTCCTTCGGCACGAGTGAGAAAGCCAACTATGCCTCAGCGGTGGTAAACCTGGTGCCCGGTGGCGGCACGGAGGGTGGCCAGCTGGTGACTGACGACGGCCAGTCTTATGCAGGTAGGGGGAAGTGGGCACCCTCGTTTCGTCTGACAGAACATTCGGGTAAGCCCAGGTTCCACGAGGAACACGTGTGTTTGGCTCAGGATTCTGTGTTTATTAACGGCAAGATGGGAAATGGAGTCCCTGCGAGGGAATGACTCAGAGAAGCTTCAGCCTGTCTCTAAGAGTTCAGCGGGAACTCACTTCTGGGAGACTTGGGGCTTTTGGGGGGCCACCAGACAGCGTCAAAGCCTGAGGCATGTCCATTTCTCAGTGTTCTGTCGTTGTACAGCCTGAGGATTCTGTGGAGCATAGAATCCCCCGTCCCGTCATGTCCCAATGTAAGACAGCACTTGCTCAGGTTGGCCTCTGTTGGAGGAGAGGGAACAAAGCTTATGGCATTTTTGTTCCATATAAGAAGAGCCCTGCTGAAACCGTGTTCCCATCTAGTCCAGCATCCTGTGCGAAGCAGCGGACAACCAGTTGCCCTTGAGGGCCAACAAGCAGGGCAGAGAGGCTGAAGCCTTCCCCTGGTGCCGACTCCTCCAGCTCCCGTTCAGAGGTTTGCTGCCTCTTTATGTGGCGGCTCCCTGCTGCCTTTCATGGGCCTGTTTCTAAACCCTTTCAAAGCCATCCCTACTTGTGGTCATCGCTACCTCCTCGGGCAGTGAATTCCACAATTTCATTACTCATTGAGTAAAGAAGTATTTCCCTTTCTGTCTGCCCTGCACCGATTGCCCATTAAATTCATTGGGTGCCCCTGAGTTTGTTTGGGGTTTTTTCTCTTTTTCTCCTTCTATTTACTTTCTCCAAAACAGGCATGATTTTATAAAATTCTGTCATTTCCCCCTTCAGCCTTTCTTTTTCTAAACTAAAAAGTCCCAGATGTTTCATCCATTCTCTGTAGGAAAGGTGCTCTGACGTCTTGATTATCTTGGTTGCTTTCTTCTGCACTTTTTCCAGCTCTGATGTGTCCTTTTTGAGATATAATTATGCAATTCCACGGGGCCTGTATGTCAGAGATGTTCCGCCCGAGCTTTTGGTGGAGGGCAGCAATGGTTACCATCTTGGCTGGCACCCGTCCTTCTTCCTTCTTCCCTCCGTGTTCTGAGTTCCCTTCCCCCCTGCCCAGGAAAAAAAAGGGGGGGGACTCTTAGTCTGGAATTGGGACGCATAATAATACAGGGAAATTGCCATCTTTATGTATAAATTTTAATGTTTGTGTTTTGTATTTTATGACACCATGGCCTGTAGATTACCCATCGCCCAGATGAGAATAATAATAATAATAATAATAATAATAATAATAATAATCATAATAATCATAATAATCATAATAATCATAATAATCATAATAATCATAATCATAATCATAATAATCATAATATAGCAACCAGACCTGTATGCCGTATTCCAAATGGGTACAGCACTAGAGAATCACAGCTCATAATATCCAGAGAACAAAAAAACCCAACCATATACATGTGCTAAATAAGGCAAAAACAATACTGTATTGTAAACAATTCAATACAAAAATGTGTGACAAAAATACAGGTGGAAGAGAGGTCCAAAACATAAAGGTGACAAAATTTTCCAGACTATCCAGTCATTTCGAAGGTTTTCCTCTAAACTGGACCATGCATATCCTTTTGACAATAACATTAGTAAAAACTACAATTGTGTAATGTACCCAGTGAATTTTGTAATACAATGTTTTCCAGTGTTTTTCCAATATTGGCCATTTTATTCTTAATTTCTTTCCCTAATAATCCCCAGGAGGTTGATTCAGGTGGGCAGCCGCGTTGGTCTGAAGCAGCAGAACAAATTTTGGGTCCAGTCAGGCACCTTTAAGGCCAACAAGCTTTATCCAGGGTGTAGCTGAACATGCCTCCTCTGGCCTGCAGGCCCTAGTCCACCCTGCCCTCCTAGGGGTTCCCAGGGGATGTTGGGATTTCCCACTGGGAGGATCAGGACTCCCAGCTTCCCTTCCAAGTTTGGAGGCTTGCCTCAGTGTCTTCCGCTGCCCAGTGCCTGGTCACCGCAGGAACATATTAATGCCTTGTGTGCCCTTGGAGGAATAGCTGCTTGCCAACTGCATGCCTCCCCCCTGGCCCCCCTCTTCAGATAGCATGTTCAAGACAGTGGAGGTCTACGTGGTACAGAGAACCACTCCCAGCATCAAAAATTATAAAGAATTTATTAAAAAGAAAATGTTTACAAGCATATTTTTAGCACCACACCAGTGGAGGTCTACATGGTACAGAGAACCACTCCCAGCATCAAAAATTATAAAGTATTTATTAAAAAGAAAATGTTTACAAGCATATTTTTAGCACCACACCAAACTGAGAAAGGAACACAAAAGAACTTGGTCAAAATGTAAATCCTCTGTCCCTTTCTCTATACATGCCCTATCAGCTGTTAAAATAGGACAGGCTCCCTTTAGTTTAGGAAGTTACAAATTCCTACAGAGTTCCTTTACCATTAAGTTCCTTTCAGGAAGGCGGGCTGAGGTACAAGCGAATTGACTTCCACCTCTGCCTAGAGAAAAAAAAGAACTGTTAAAGCGCAAAGTGGAGGCTTTGCTCCTTGTCAACCTCCCACGAGAAAATGCACTTCTTCACACAATGCATAAGCTTTCATGTGCATGCACACTTCTTCGGATAAAATTAAATGGAAGTTACCAGATAACAGGAAGGACATTATTTGCCTTTTTCAGTGTTACTGCTTTTCATTGAGCTTTTCACTATAACACCAAGATCTCTTTCAGTCTTGATCTCAGCCAATTAAAAACCTATCAGTACGTACGTATTAAAAGTTAGGATTTTGTTGTTGTTGTTTGTTACAGTGTGCCTCATCCCTTACACGTACTAGGACCAAACTTAATTTCTCATGTTGGCCACTCACGCAATTTGCATAGATCCTCTTGTAGCTTTTCACAATCCGTTTTGGTTTTCACCATTCAAAATAATTTGGTGTCATCTGCAGAAATGGCCAAATGGCTAACCCCCAGTTCTAAATCATTTATGAATAAAACAAGCAGTGCTGGTCCCAGTACCGGTCACTGTGGCAGCCCGCTGCTCACTCCCCTCCATTGCAAGAATCGTCCATTTTTTCTGCTTTCTTTTTGTTTAACCAATTTTTAATCTATAAGCGGACACATCTTCTTATCTAATGACTGCTAAGCTTAATCAGGAGTGTCTGGTGAGGTACCTTATCAAAAGCCTTTTAGAATCCAAGTGTATGATGTCTACTGGATTGTCTTTATTGATGTGCTTGTTAATCTACTTAAAGAACTCCAAAAGGTTGGTGAGGCAGGACAGAAGCTATGTTGATTTTCCCTCAACAGGCTTTGTTTTTCACTGTGCTTAATCTATCTTTAGTAACAGTTTCTAATAATATACTAGGCTAACCGGCTTTTAATTCACTGGACACCTTTTTAAAAATTGGTGTGCCGCTTTCTAGTCTTCTGGCGTGGAGGACAATTTTAGCAACAAGTTACATATTTGGGTTAGTAGATCAACAATTGGATGTTTGAGTTCCTTAAGGGCAGTTCTGGCCTGAGTACGTCTCCACATTTTCCACAGTGAAAACAGATGCAAGGAATTCATTCAGTTTCTCAGCAATTTCTCTGTCTCTCCCCCACATGCACACACACAGAAGAGAGGATCCCTAGAAGACTCTCTTAGCTGCTAGAATAGTTCACAGAATTATCAGCAATCCAGCTTTCCATTTCATAGTAGGCAAACACCTAGGGCACTACTTGCCACCGTCCTTCTCACTCTGAGCTGGAAACGGCTGACTAAACTATTATGTGGTTGCATCTCAGAAGACGGTACGAAGCTTCCGTGGTCCTGGGTGGAGCACACGTGTTCTGATTGGTAAGTTTAAACTGTGGGGGCAGTTTCACTTCCCATTATAGTTGGAGTGCAGCTCTTCTGAAAGGACTCAGGAGAGTTGCTGGACCCTGATCCCCTGTTGGAGAAACAGGTGAGCTTGTTGGGAAAGAGTGTCTGTGATTGACTGCATCTGGCATGGAAGCTCGCCCTTTATCTGCGGACGCTGAACCTGACCATGCTGATCTGTGCTACAGCGACCTTGAGGCTCCGTTGTTATAATATGCCCTCTTATGGGGCTTGCCTTGAACACCATGTGGAAACTTTAACTGGTGCTGTACGCAGCAGCCTGTTTACCTGGAGGGTAGCCGTGGCGTGAACTGGTCCATGGGGTCGCAAAGAGTCGGACTCGACTGTGCGACTGAACAGCAACAGCAGCCATGGGAGATGCCTGTTCTGCACTCCGTTCACTCATCCTGGACTGGTTTCTGGATCCAATTCCAGGCGCTGGTGCTCCTCTCACAGCCCTTCGCTCAGAGAGGCTGCTGGCCCTTGGCACACACGGAGAGTTGCCTGCAGTCCTTTCATCTCTGCTGCAAACGGAGAGACCTGCACATTTGCGGATTGCGCTTCCATGCGTGGCAGGGTTCTGTCCACTGTCCTCTGTGTGTTTGGCTAACATTTCCTTTCCATGCATGCCCCACAGTGAGTCGCATTGACTCTTAGGGGTGTGGTTGTCACACAGCTGCCATAGAAATGCGCACGGCCTCTTTTTGTCGCTCTTTTCTTCTTGCATGTGCCGTGTGCGTGAAGGGTCGTCAGGTCGCTTCCGACTTAATGGTGACCCTATGAATTGGTGTCCTACAAAATGTACTACCATGAGCAGCCATTCTCAGGCCTTGCAAACTGAGGGCGATGGTTTCCACGATGGAGGCCATCCGTCTCCTGTTGGCTCGTCCTCTTTTCCTGGCCCCCCCCCGCTTTCCCTAGCATGATTGTTTTTTCTTTTTGCTCCCCAATAGGGAATTTTTATTGCATTTTTATTAAAACCACAAACTATAACAGAAATAAGGAAGGGGACTACGTTTAAGGGGATAAAGAAAAGATACCCACTACTGATTAAAAACCCAAGAGAGGAGATCTTCTAATCAGCTTAAATACACATCTAGTCTTAATCATATT